CATGTGTACAATATATATATATATATATATATATATACTTTAAACACATAATCCAGTTTCTGGTTTATAAAGCTTGACCATGATAGAGCTTTCAAATTTGATATATCTAGTGCAGATAAAATGACAAAAGAGAAGCGAAATTATAAGAACAACTGTTAAAAGGTATTGGGGATGACCCTGTAATGGGCCCTCCAAGTCCCTGCAAAGGGAGTTATTTCCAAAGCCTACAATGTGGGAATATCATAGGAAGTGATGTTTAAGGGAATGTTACACAAGAACTAATGACCATTCAATGCCTTGTTTCTCTCTTTCATCATTGTAATAACCCTCATGACACAATTGTAGTTTGATCTGCAAGGTCAGTCGTTCCTCCTTCAGGCCTCCTCATTGGCTTAATGTCATCCCATCCATCCCCACCTAGAGGCCACCTCTCTGGCTTAATGTTTTTCCATTTCCAACTACTAAGGCCTCCTTACACTGGCATATTGTCAACTGTTATATATATACCCTACTCTTAAAATCTTGATACCCAACAAAAAGTGTAATATATACTTTATTATGCTTCTCAATAAATGCTGACAACACTCACTACAGTAGTGTTGGAATAATGTGTACTACTAATATGTAAATTATGTGATGTAAAAATAAATTAATCAACGATGTGCCATTTACATAAATTCATTAATGTCATGTCAATAATATTCTTTTAATTATGTTTTGCACGCTTATTAACTTGGCTTGTAATCAATGAAGAAATTTCATAGCACAAATTCTGCAAGTCAGCAAAAATTTTATTGGAAATTGATACTGTAATTTACTTGATCCATTTAAATGTTAAATACAGATTCTAGATTTCACCACAAACATTGGTGTAGGCCTATAGACTATCTAACTGTCCACTCCCTAGAGTAAAAAAAAGGAATTGCTAAAATATTTCCCTGACATTAATGTCTGTGTTCGGATGTAAACTCAAATACATGTGTAATCTAATAATAGCCTTGGGGCTAATTCCGACGGCTGTTCGGACGAGCAGAATAAGAACTGGTAAAACCAGTAACTTCTCGTATGTCTTTCCTTCAACCCCAAGGTCAGACACAGGTTTTTTAGCAATATTTTTTTGTTACTGTTTGAAACTATACATAATCTAGCCTAATTGTAACTTCATTTGGAGCTTCAAGTGATTTCTTCACCGTGATAACAAAACTTTATTACATTTGGCACATGTCCACCGCTAGACGACGCCATGTGTTACATGTGATAAATTACGCCTGGAGACAGCGCGTAATTGAAATATCCACTAAAAAAGGCTATGTTCACACACACTGCGTAAGACTGGCGTAAGCTAATCCACAGATTAAAATTCCAACGGCGTTCGTTAAATTAGTAGTAATATAAGCCTATGGGGAATAGTTTTCAGTTTTAAATAATGTATGTGTTAACTGTAGTAAAATTAACAGTGCATCATGAAAACTTTTAAATCTGTGAATTGTTCGAAGTGAACTTTATATGATTATTGTATTTTAAATGAACAATTTTACTTTTGATTTTTCGGCTAGCATTGTTGGTGTTGCATGTTTTAATAGACAGTCTAAATGGTTAAAATATCTTACAAAACACAATCAACAAATCATATACATTATAACTAAGTAAAATGCAATAGAAAAGGAACCCCTTTACCATTTCATTTATAGAGCACAGGAAAGAGACCAAATTAGCTAATATATTGCAATCGTGATTGGTCAATCTCTTGAAATGAGGTCAAATCATTCAAACATCACTGGCGTTAGCTCAGTGGCGTTCTGGGGTCTGCAGGTAGCGTTAATAACGCCAAGGATGTGGCGTAGTGAGTGGCTTTAACAACGCCACTGCCTAGTTCACACACAAAGGCGTACGCTACGCCAGGCTTAAGCCAGCCTTACGCCGTGTGTGTGAACACAGCCAAAGATGGGTTTTTGGGACAGATGTTTTTCGAATTTTTTATGGCTAGATGCAAAATTTAATTGCCACACATGTCCTCTCAGTTGGAAGTACCCGGTAAAACTTTACTCATCCGAACGGGCCCTACTGCACGTTGACATCTATACCCGGTACCTCTTCAGTGGTATAATGCCTATTTATTAATCCCTACATGGAGGCCTTCCCACCTGCTTTATGCTGCTGTTGATGATATCTGCCCCTACCTCTAAATTAAGACCATGATTTACGAGGGCCCTAAATTACCTTCTACTGTAATTTATTTCATCCACATCAATACTGACTTGACTCCTCACCGGGTATAGTATACTTAGATTGTTGTCTGCTGTGCATAAAGACCTGTCCAGACTATCAAATTGTATTTGACAAAAAATGTAACATGCCTAAATATGGTCAAGATGACATCACATCATGACCATATATAGGCACACCATGATTGGGCATACAGTGGCGGATCTACTGTAGAGGGGGTGAATTTAATAGCGGAGACAGAGCTTTATTATATGTGAATGCTAAATATATTCTCAACAAGCAAAAAAAATGAATATTGGAAATTATTATTCTTTTCATTAATTATATTTTAATTATTGAAAGAATACAGAGGTGAGGATGTTGATATTTTCAACAGGTGCTGCTGGATTAACTTAGGCTTACACTAATATGATCACATGACACATGTTTGGCTGCAACTTTAAATCTTTGTGACATTTCTGTTCCATCAAATTCAGATATGCCAAATCAGCACCTGTATATTATGTAATAATATTCAATTAATGATCATACCACTCAAGAAGTCACATGTTGTATATATCAGACTGAAGTGCTTTAAAGATCAGTTTCTGGAAAAAAAAAGAATTGCTTTTTTACTTCCACACAACTTCCATATGTTGCTTCCTGTTGTCACATGAACACATTTTAATTTTGATAAACCATCATATTGGTTGAAAACTTTCATTTTTCTCTTTAAAATTCAAACAAATCAATCAATCAAGCAATTGATTAATCGATCATTCAGTCAGTCAATTGATCAATCAATCAATCAAGCGGTCAGTTAATCAACAAAATAAATTAACCTATATTATCGATTAATCAGTTTACTTTAAACCTAATGAACTACAAAAAAAAAATTGTAAACCAGTTTTTTTTATGAACCACAGAAAATTTTGGTCCATTTTCCCCTCAGCTCTATCATACAAGAGCTGTGCAAACTGAGGGCTCACAAGTTAATCATTGTAACAATACCTTGTTGTAGTACAGTAATAATAAAGTACAAAATGAAGTAATTAAAATTTGATTAAAATAAATATGTTTATAAATTATAATTTGGCACCCACACAAGTGCTGAGTGAACTGACAAGGCAGCTCACTACCACCATCCTTTTCAAAAAATCCATGAATCCAACAGGGTGCATGTCTAAATGAAAGTTTTGAATGTGATTAAACAGGCCTGTAGCCAGGTTCTTCCAAGGGGGGTTTTCATGGCGCGAGGTCCACAGTTGAAGCCCCGGTGGGGTCGGCGAAACCCTAAAAGCAAGAGGATTTTTGTGCTTTATGGGTCTAAATAATGCTATAAAAGCAGATAGGTTTGAAAATGTCTGTGTCTGGGTGGGTCTGCAGTGCATTAGTTGGGTTGGAGGACTTATTTTGGAAATTTAAAGAGGGCAGGGGGTTTTGCCAGAAAAGAGTGGGGTGGGGAGGTTGCTACAAAAGAGGGGTTCTTTTGAACCATAAAAAACCCCCTGGATATGGGCTTGTTGAATAGTAAAAACTGTTAACTAATTTTCCAATAGTATAATAAAGTGATGTTGATACAGTATGTTGCAATGTTGTGTGTGGATACAAAATGCATAAACACACTCACAATCCTGGTGAAATGTAAAGTTTATATTTGAAGGTGAAATGCATCATAATTTAGGTTTGGAATTCCTCCATTGACACTAGGGTAAACTAAACAAATTGCATGTCCTTCTTGTGTCTAGACTTTAATTATCTTTGCAAAGGTTTCTCTTGTAAAACCAAACATATGTAACACATCTACATCCTCATCTGTCACCCAATAAATGATTGTCTCATGAGTTGATGCCATCTTTAATTCAGAGCCCACATTTATCCTACTTTTGAAATGAAAAATCAAGAACCCTACTTTACCCTATTTGTGACTTGGGTTCACGGTCTATAAAACATAAGTATACAACTCTGGTACTGGTACTAGTATAGGCATTTATAATGCACCTCTTCCTTGACGTTATAAAGCGCAGTTCTTTAATCTGGTCATTGGCTGCTGGTAATCAGCGCAGGAGCAGTCAACCCCACCAGGTACCCATTTTTACTCCTGGGTAGAGAGAATCAATGCAGATAAAGTGCCTTGATCAAGGACACAAGAGAAATGCACAGTGAGGGATTGAAACCACCCCGACCTCATAGGTTGGGAAACCAAACCATTCCTGCTGCGCCAAACCGCTTCCAAACTCCAGTCCAAAAGTGTTGATCAGATCAGAATCAGTAGCTCACTGTTTTCAGGCAGTGTAGTGTAAACGTCTTCCTCGTCATCTCAACGTTTTTTTACATTGGGGTCCAGTTTTTTGGTTGCTCAAAATATTTTTAATTTCTATATTTTATTTTTGTTGCACCCTCTGGCATGAAAAAGTTTCAATAAAAAAATATAAAAAAATTAATATTATGCCAATCACTGCCATGAACTCTACCAACAAGAAATTTTTCTTCCTCACAATACTCTATAAAGCATTATTAGGGGGAAGATCCAGGATGAATTAGCTAGGGGAGGGAGCGCATAGGCAATTGCATTAGCCACCGTTATTAATTTGCTTTCATTCTTTGTGCTTCAATCTTAGCAAATTATCTACATTTCATGACTAATTTATGGATTGAGGGGTTGTTTGTCTATTATGAACATCAATGTTTTTAAAACTCAATCAATTTGTTTAAAAGACAAACATATTGACATTTAAAGATGTAGTAAATTCTGAAAAAAAATTGTTGACAAGTTATCATTATTTTGCAGGTGATTATGTGGAAATTCTTAAGAGAGCTCATCAAAACATGGAAGACATCTTTGAAGAGGACTACAATAGGATATCTGGTGAAGTGTCATCACTCCTGACAAAATTCTTTGATGATGCCAGAGACTTCTTATTCAGTGAGCAAGGAGCAAGTGACATTCCGACATTCGTTGATCATTTCTTTGATAATCTTTTCCCTTTGATATACATTGAGGAGTTAAATCGTGGGAGAATTAAATCAGGAATAAGTACATCATATGCACGCTGTTTGGCAACAAACCGGAAAACAATACGGCCATTTGGAAGCGTGCCAAAGTGGACAAAAGAATCTCTTGAGAATTCTCTTCTCCCAGCTCAAATTCTTCTTCAATCTATTGAGCTTGGTATTAAAGTTATCAACACGACAAACAATATTAAACTGACTGAAAGTTGTCACAATGCATTGACACGCATGTCTTTTTGTCAATATTGTAGCGGATACGTGGATTTAAAACCATGCAACGCGCTGTGTCTTAACGTTATGACAGGATGTTTTGCGGGCCTATATGAAGTTGATTATCATTGGGGTCGTTTTCTGTCCGCTATTCTTCGTCTCACATCAAGTATGTCCTCAGATCATGACTTGGAACGTGTTATACGGAATTTACCGAAGAGAACCATCAACGCACTGAACTATTTGCGGAACAATAAAGAAAAAATTTTAGACGAGGTAATCGTGATGGGAAAATTTTTTTCTTCTAAAATAATTTTGCAAATTTCTTAAGGTTTTTTTTCCTCTTCTGATATTCTTGGTTTTTGTCATATTGAGATATATTTGCCAATGTTTGCTAATAGCATTATATGCTTGTCTTCTCTTGCAACACAAATACACATGGTGCTCTGCGAAACTTATATGTAGGCCTACTACCACTTCGATAAACAGTAAAGAAATTATTAATATAATTATTATTATTATAAATATTAATAGTCATTGAGAACTACAGTATAATTCCTTGTTATTTTAGTTTTTATTTTGTCAAAACCACAAGAAATTCAAAAATGTACCTTTGCAGTCGGACAAATGCCTGTTCTTGTGGTTTCAATAAAAAAATTATTTTCATTCTAATTTTTAATTAAAAAAAGCAATTAATATATTTTTAGGTGAAGCCTAAATTAAATGAAATGGCCTTTAATGGCCCCACAATACCATCATTACAGTAGTTGACAATACTTTATGCAATCTCTTATAAAAAAATAGTTAGAAATCTATGCTTGCAATGGATACAAAAAGTATGAATAACAATGAATTTTATCATCTTTGACAAGAATATAAGACAAACATGGCCTATAGACATATAGGTACACGTTGGTAACATGTCTAAATTTATGCAGTTTTTCAGGGTGATTTGCCTCCAGAAGTAAAAAAAGGCAGGCCTAACCCCATTGGTATATGAGTTTTTCAGTTTCAATAGCCATGGTAAATAAGCCTGCGGGGTATATCTTCAGCAAAGTGATAGAAAGAAATTCATGAAGATTTCTGTGCAATCTTTTGGTATTACCCAAATCCTCCTACACATTGCTGTTGATTGTGTTTAAGATAGCTTAAGGCTTAAGCCAATAGAATCTATTGTTATCTATTTGGGAGTTAATGTCTTGCTGAATGGTACAGTAGGCATTCTTTTATCCCTATTTTTCCACAAACTTCCAGTATTGCTTCAAATAGGGCTATAGTCCCTATGTATATAGAGTTTCTGGATAAACAAACTTGTTTTTAACCTGTTTATTCACCCATTCACATCAAACCAACATTATTTATGCATCTTTGAATTGGTAAAGAAAAGATTTTCTTGTTCCAATTCTTAAGTCCTGTCCAGACATGACATGTGTAAATATGGACATAATGGCATCACATCATGACCATATAGACACATCATGACTTCATATGAGCATACTTTATGACAGCATTTTTGTCAAATAAAATTTTGATAATCTGGACGGGACTTAAGATTTTAAGTTCAAATTTTTAGTTCAGAAGCTTAGTTCAAAGCAATCAATTCAAATATTGAATACTACTGTTAATTTTTTTTAATTAGCTCAGTACCAGTATCATCATTATAGTTCATTACAGGCTTTGTCCACACTAGATTTTTATGTGACAAATACTTGGGATTTGCTCATATAGAGATGTCTATGACATCATCATGTCATATATTGGTGACATGCGAATATATATATGGGCAAATAACGAATATTTGTCACATAGTGAGGATGAGGATACCTCCCTTACCATACTCATGTTTCTCACAACATCCATGTAGAGATTGCAAAAGAAATGCAATGATTCTGCATTTTTCGTTTTGTTGTGCCATTTCTTTCGTTATCTTTTTAGTTCTTTTTATTTGTGTTTTTGTTTGTTTAAATATTTTATTTATTTGTTTTATGTTTGCTATACAAGTGTAACATTATTATTAATATCTGTTTTTTATTATTTAGGCCAACAAAATTTGTGGAAATCCAAAGGATGTTCAGCAAAGCTTTCTAACAAAAAATTTACAGAGTCTGTCAGGAGTTCGTATCAATGAAGATTACAATGGTGAATCCATGTATGTGCGTATTAATGTGTTCGCTTATAGTTTACGGAACTCGGAATCATTTCTAAGATCTCTACCAAATCAAATTTGCTTCTTGAATAAGGAGGCATCGGACTTCGACTCAAGATGCTGGACTGGCAAACGTTATGGAAAGTAAGTGTTTTTTTATTGTATGTTATTATATTTGCCTTTTCCGGCAACAATGGAAAAGCTATTATTTTTTATTCTTCTATCCTGCGCCTTTGTGATTTTCACAGGGTTGTGTTCTATAGCCTTATGGTTAGAACTCTCCACACCACACTGTAGCCCAGGTTTGTGCCTTAGTGTCAAATTGTTTCTTACATATCTTTATTTGTAATAATTTCAAATGTCGGTTCTTACGTTCTATGTTCTCTAAAGTTTAAAAGAGACATTGGTATAAAATATAATATTTCTACATAGATTGTTGTTGATTATTATTTTATTATTATTATTATTATTATTATTATTATTATTATTATTATTATTATTATTTAATATTATAATTACCATTCTTACTCATTGTAATCCTGGTATTGTTTTTGATATATAAAGTCTATTTTGTGAATACTTACCTGGATAAACTGATAAATGCCTAAGTTTCCTTTGAAACTTACCACTCGAGAGGTAAGTTTCAAAGGAAACCTAGACATTTATCGGTTTATCCAGGTAAGTATCTCACTCATATAGACTAACAACATCACTACTGATTTGTTTAAATTATCACAATCATTTGTGAAAATGTTAATAATGGTAATAATAAGGAAGTAATTACAAGGTGAGAAAGGTTGTCTGTAAGTGCTCTTTTAACACATAATTGAAAAAGAGATCTAATGACAGTTAAAATTAAAGCACAGATCCTATAATAGTAATGGTCAATTGTCCATACCAGTGTAGTCACATCTAAACAGACCAATTACTCTGGAATGTAAACTGTGACCACTGAGGCTTGTCTGGACTTGGCTTGGGTCATTGATTTTTCATGGAGTCCACTTAAAAGTGAAGCTGATATACAAGTGAAATTAGTCAAAACATGTCATTATCCAGCTAGTTTGGTCAAATTGTTTATCTTAAGGGGCGTAATGGAAAACAACTGCTTGTAACAAGAAGAGAGTTTTGTCTATCTGCAGACACAACTCAGGAAACGAAAGAAAAATAAGGCCCTATAAAAACAAAATAGGTTAGCCTTAGCCCACTAGCCTCGCCAAGGCTATTTCAGCTTTACTTGCTCACAAAAAATATTGTTTGTTGTCAAAAAAAGAAAAAAAACCCAAAAAACTAAGTGACCCTCAATTTCGTAAAATTTGTGTTGGTCGGACGTGGCCACCACAATAATTTTTTTTTTGGGCCTTATGAAAAACAAAAGTGTATGTCACTGTTTACAAATATTTTAATGGATAACCATAGTTTAATGTTTCACCCTCCATGGTTAGGATAACATGGTGTAAGAGACCTTGTAAGTGCTGCAAGAACACTGTTACAATGTCGCATTCTTGCTCTTCCATTTTTCACAGGACATAGGTGCCTTCCTGACCTGTTCTTATTGTAGCTTGTTTATTTTATCCAGCTGAGGCTTGAAAATACTATTCTGATCTGCAGTAAATTACTTACTTTAATGGCTTATGGTGTAAATGTAAATAAATAAATCCAACTGACATTTCCACTGTTTTCAAGGACTCTGGTTTGTAAAATACTATGTCACCCTCTAGAGCATTTTCTACAAAAGTATTTGAAAGATTATAAAAAAAGGTTTGCTGCCCTCTATAGTTTAAATAGAAGCAAACTTTTAAAAATCATTTCTTTTGAGTGATGTGTGGATATTAATTTGTTATAAACGTATATATATTAAATAATTTACAATAGGATTTTGTAATCTCATTTTAAGAAGGACTTATGGTGTCAGAATCTTGATGACTGATCTTATTAAAACAGGAGCATTCCAATTAGTGATTAGAGGATACATTACAATTCTCACACTTTTATGTCATCAACATGGTAGGAGGCATACCTCAGGCACCCTTCTGTACAATTTACAAATTCCAAACACATAGGCTTAACACAAGGGACTAATTTACCCTATGATACAAATTTATACAGGTTTATAACAATACTGCCATCGTGTGGTGACATGTGCGTTTATTAAAATCAATCAAACTTCACATCAAATAAAAATCATAGTTTCATATGTGTAGGCAACTCTAGTTTTGGTCAACTACCTCTGGAGGATAGGTCAAGAGATCTCCAGTCACTGTTGTCTGGGTCAATATGTCATGTGGGTCAATCCATGTTAATGAAATAATTATCGAAAACACATGCTTTCAAAAGTATTACTATTCTTACATATTCATACAAGAAATAATATTTCATTGTTGCTGTTATGGTTCCTTGAAAGGCCCAACCCAAATTTTCTAGTTACTGGAAGTGTTTTTATTATTTTTATTATTATTCAGTATAAAAATCAGGGTAGACATGTATAAAAATCAGGGTAGACATTTAAATTCAATAATTTCTGTGCTCAAGTTAATAATTTGTTATGTTACTACAAGAGTTGACTTCATTTTTTAAAAATGATTTTCTGTCATTTTCAGGGGATAATGCAAAGCCCTAAGCATAACTGCTAGGGCTAGTAGTATTCTTTATACCAGACTTCGGTTTATTTGTTTTTAAAAATCACCAATAAAATAATAGTTTTTCATCTTAGAAGCAAAAAAATTAAGTAAAACAATTTTTTTTTTTCAATTAACATTATATTATTTTAAAGGTTTTTATTTTTATAAAATTTTGAAAATGTTTTGGTACCGCTTGTTAAATGACGTCATCACTGCAAATGGCATTCAGAAAATAGTTTTTAGAGTTCACATCGAGGGTTGGGGGGGGGGGGCGGCTCTGTAATTTATGTATGCTTTACTGGTTGTGTCTATCCATATGCCCTACATTTCAAATCTTGAAACTTCAGACAATTTGTGATAGGTCAACATAATTTTAGGGACATATTAAATCTATTTTGTAATATTAAACCCTTTTAGGTACTTTCCCTCATGGCCAGGAGGGAACCTTAGATTTGTTTTGTTAATTTTCTCATTCTGGACAGCGCCACCAACAAGAAAGTTAATTTAGAGACGGAATAACCTAATCCGAAAAAAAGAAATCGAGTATGGGACGCCAATGAAATTAGGTATGGCACGCAACTAAGTGCAATAAAGAGTGAGTAACCAAAAATTGGGGCCTGGAACCCAGGCTAGAGGGAACCTGTAACTCATCAAGTTTAGTGGCACCCTCACTACTTTTCACAGACTACATTTAATCTCAGATAGGATCTGTGGCCTAATGAATAACTCAACTGTTAATTACTCTGACCAGGTCACTTATAGGCTGTGTTTAGTTTGGCCGTAGGCACACTAAAGGGGTTCTTGCATATCCCTTAAGACACTGTAGACCTACCGGCAGGGATTTTATGATTTTATTCTACATTGGATCTGTAATTTTGATTTATCCATTTGGTTTTATTTTATTTTTTTAAATTCAGCTATGACATTTAATTTACTTCACCAATTTATTTATTATTTGACTTAAAACACAGCAAGTATGCAACTTGTATGCACAAGAAATTTCTAAAGATTGCTCTCTTGTAAACACAGTGAATTACAAGATAAATATTTAAATAAGTAGAAAGTTTATGATGTGATAGCAAGCCTATAAAATCTTGGTATGAGTTGACTGATCAGTAATTCTAACTTGTATCCTAATGGCAGGTCTAGCTTGAGTGAGGTAATCAAATCCACTGTTTAGCATTCATGGGTACAGGCTAGGGGAGTGGGCATGAAATCTGCATCTCCCTTCCCACACAATAGCAATTTAGTTCCACTTATTAGTTATTATTAATAATTTAATTTACCATTATGTTTTCATTTAAATTGGGATTTACTTGTGCTTAATGTTTGCACCCCCTCCCCCAGCAAGAATCATCACCAAAGCAAAGAGGCATGAACATAATTATCTCACCTGTCCTTAGTAACCTTCATTGGTTGGAAATTGCCAAACAAATTGTTTTAAAAATAATTTTAGTCATACTTAAGACTAGACTTCTTAATACAGTACACCACAGTATTTAATGGACCTGATACCAGCATACCACCCAAAACGCACTATAAGTTCTGTATCGAAGAACCTCCTTGTAGTATAGAAGTATCGTACACAGACATGGCAGCTGTTCATTTTCATTTGCCTCCTCACAATTAAGAAACAACTTGCCTCACTCAATAAAAGATGCCAGTTCTGTGGAATTATTTAAGTCTAGTTGAACGTTTAATACATAATTTCTTCAAGTTCAACCCCAAAACCTTCGTTTGGAAATATTGGGATGGTGTCTGGTGGGGGACAGTTTTACCTCCAATTTAAGTTTAAGTTAGTTTTATGTAGTTAAGATTAGTTTTAGTAGTGAAGACGCCCTGGGTATGACATTAAAGTACATCCACTCAAATCGCTGACCACTAACTGGCAGCCCCCATCTACGGCCTTAGGTTGGAGGGTGAATGGTCCAGCAGCTATAAAAAAATTGCTGAACAAAGGGCAGATGAACTCATTGGAGCCAACGGCCAAGCCATACCTTAGTTTAAGGAATAGGATTAGTTTAAGTATTACTTTCTTTGTACTGTTATTCATATTTATGTTAAGTGCATAGAGGTCTCCATAATATGCGCTCTATAAGTCTGCCATTATTATTATTATTATTATATTATTATTATTAAAATCAGCCTACATTCCTAATTCTGAAATTATGCCTGACCACTGTTGCTGATTGTACCTGCTCCATTGATGATTATTAACATTTTTAGTTTGTTTGCCATTGATTCGTGTAAATATTTTATCACAGGAGCTACACAGGTATAATTCTAGTGTACACCTTTTTTATTTTTATAATTAAGAGCATTGAGACTGACATCGCCGTAAAATTATGAACAAAATAAGAACAAATTGAGGCTAAAATAAAATGTATTTAAACTAAGCTAAAACAAGAAACAGGCAAAACTTTCAAAAAGTTTATCAACAGCTGATGAGACTCAACAAAACAACACATTTTTTTCTAATTTAGTTTTTGCTGAATTGAATATAAGCCACATTTAGGTCTATTTAAAAGAATATACCGTAAGAATTGTATAAGTATACATGTGTTACTAGTTATTTGCAAATATTCCCTGAACCTTGGATATCGTTGCAAAAGTTTTCTCTTGATATAAAAATCGTAGGCGGATAACCAGCATTGTCCACCTTGCCTTGAGTATGCAGGAAACCACACTTATCTACTTCCAACCTTTGTGGGTAGTGTTTCGAAACAGACATTAAACATACAGCATTGTCTGTCTTTATAAAAATTATGTAAAATCTATTTAATTATCAATAAAATAGAAAATATAGAGGTTAATTGAATTTTATATACAGTACATTAAATTATTTAATTATAAAAAGATACTGTAAAACTAAATAAAACCCAGTGCTCTCTATTTGTGACTTATGCTCTAATAGTAACCCACCTTAAAAATTCTATTTTAATGACTCACTACTCTAATATTAACCCATTTGAGTCACTATTGCAATACCAGACAAATGAACTTCCAGACAAGTTTGCTGGCATTGATAATAATTTGCCAGCGGATGGATTGATGTTGGTAAAAATGAAGACTACTGTACTAAAATAAAAGAATAGAAGCCCAAGGTTTCTCCTCTTTTGTTTCATCTTTATTCTTTAATTCCACTGTCCAGTAGAAAAAAAAAATATCCGATAGTGCCATTTTTTCCCATCTCGGTGTGTCATAATTTTTTTTTTACCATGATGGGGCTGAGGTGGTCTACACCCTCCATCTTTGAAGGTCCCTCCCTGCCCCCCCACCCCACCCCATTTCTTCATTTGATGTTTTCTGAAGTGTTCTTGTTGCCAAGAGAATTTGAATTAAAAAAAAAAAAAAATTAAAAAAATAAAAAATAAAAAATAAAATTCCTGGATCCACCATTGAATTTAAATCTGTGGCGGGAGAGTAGTTTTTACTTGATAGTTAAGGTGGCTGCCTTCCATTAGATTATATTATATTTGACGTGGCTATTGTTACACCAGTCTTAAATGATCTTCCCAATTCTGATTGAATGTTATATTGAATAAATTGCTTGTACCTAACATCCATTCAGAAATAGAAATATGTTTAAGACTGCATTTTACACAAAACACTCAAAATTAAAAAGAACAAAAACAGTTATTTTATTCTTGTTAAAATTTGGGAATTACACATTTTGAAATGTCTCAGAACAGCTCAAAATTGACCAACAGTTTTTTTTTTTTGCCTTCGTCGAAATTTGTCAGACCCCAATATTGGACAGCTATCGCCATCTGCATGTGTCTAGAGCCATCACCTGATATAGGGACTTGGAGAGCATCAATGATCCTAGAATCAGCTCTGTACTTCCTAAGCCTCTAAATAAGACTTGGTTAAAAAGGATAATGCTCAGCTTCCTCGCAAGAAAACGCTATATACACTATTGTCATGCCAACCAAAAGAAAGGAACACAATAAATTATTAGGAATGAAACTTGAACAGAAAAATCTACAAAACCAGCAAGTAACCAGGACAATAAAAGTCAAAGTATCTCATTAAGTACATAAACATGCCATCTATTACTTTAATACTGTAATAAACAGTTACAATTCAGATACTGTAAATATAGGATGATATAATTGAGATTTGTTTCTGGGTGATGGTGGCGCTTTCGGAGTTTGACTTTTCCGGTGGGGTTCTTGCAGTAAAGCAGTTACAAACAAAAAATTAACACAACTTTCAAACTCTTGATAATAATTGATAACATCAGTTTAATACAATTTCCAATAAATCCCAATTTTAAAAACTAAAATATTTTTCATTTCATTTCAATTTTTTTCTTTTCAATAACAATAAATAATAACATCAATAGCAAACAAATCAGAACAAACAAAAATCAGGCAATAAACAAAAAATAAACTGAACTGTAAACATTTTCTAAACTAATAAATATATCTATATTCTATAAAATTCCAAAAGAAACAATTAATAAATCAGTAACTTGTTCTCAACAAAACACAGCATTAATGCACAATTTTTATACTTAAAAACCACTCCAAGTTCTACTTAATGTCCATAATAATTTTTTACTGTTTAGAATGACAGATTTATAATTAGCTAACCTAATTGATTACATGTTTATTTAATCAGTGGCTGCTGAATAATGTATCATCGTTAACTTTTATTGTCCCTTTTGCAGACTTTTTTTTTTAAGTTTCAAATTTTATTGCTTTCTTCATTTACCAATCATTCATTTATATATTCAGTGAATTAATGAACAAATTTGTTGACAAATGAAAGAAACAGTAAATAAATTGATCGTAACAGTTATTGTTTCTGCTTACAGCATGTAAAGAGATGTAAAATTTGATACCAACAATTTATATTATAACCACATGACAATATTAAACATCTTAATGTTAAGAGACGTTGCTATTCATAAATTAAAATGAGTTATTTCTGGCAACATGAACACAGTCGTCTGTCCTTATAAATGACGTGTTGGTGAATGCTGTTGGCTTGTGTGTCATCACCCATCTGCAGCCTCAGAATGGTTAGGGCTGAGTTAAGCCCAAGGATGTGGCACCTCTAGATGGGCAGAAATGACACTTGCATACTTTACAAATACTTTATGATTCTTTATAATGGACATTTAATAGTAGATTTTAAAATATAAAGTTAATTTTGCTCAAATATAGGAACTTTATTATGTTTTAATCGTATCAAGCATCTCTTTTCAATGAAAAGGTGTATATAACTTTGTAAGCTAGAAACAACCTTATAGGCTGTAGGCGTATTCATATAAAGTTCAGTCATAATTGTCCACTTAAAACGTGATGTGATATTGATCAGACATATATAACCAATACTTCCCTATGGGGTACTTTTAATTACCTCTGTTATCATTCTTCCTTCCTATTTATTTTCCCAGTTATCAGAAATTTGTCTCGTCCAGTATTCAAACCCAACAAGGAAGGAATACAGAGGTGAAGTTTACAGGGCGTGAACCGGAAATGAAGCAAACTCAAGACCTGAGCCAGCTACTCCAAAATATGCGAAAGGTAATTAATTTTAATATTAATTCATTTTCAATAAATTTAAATGAATGTTGTACTAATTTTAAGTAATTATTAAATATATTGAAAATTGGTAATTTATAAAATAAATTTTAATTACAGTTAAATTATTTAAAAATAAAAAACTGTTAGAATAGTTTTTTATATTGGTTTTAGTAAGTCTTGAAAAGAATATTAATTATTTATATTGCTAAATATATAATAATAATAATGATAACCACTTCAGTGTAGCCATTCACATGGTGGTAACCTAGGATGTTCTTGTTTTAATAAGTAACTTTTTGAATGCACTTTTACTGCAACAGCTTCATACTGATCAAACTAAAAGATACGACACAACAGGAATGCAATAACTTTATATTAGTCAGTCGTGCCACTTCAGGTCATTGAATCTGGTACCACCAACGTATTAATTCTTCCTTTATTCTCTCCTTCCTTCTGGAATCATGGCAAAGGAAACAATGGGACACTTTCACTGCAAGAACAGCGTCACACGATGTCACGGCATCTAGTCGTTATATAGGAAGCTGTAGCTATAGTGATTTGTGAAGTCATGACTGAGAATGGTCCCACGTATAAAGCACTTTCTATCTTGTTACGCAACGTAGTCCCCAGACCTACTTTAATAAGAATGCTTAGTGGGTTGTTCCATTACAGAATTAGGGATGTTATGATTATTATTATCAACTATCAAATATTATTAACGAATCAAACAAACATACCAGTAAACAAATCTAACAACAGATCAAAGCTAACAACAGAACAAAACATCAAGATCAATCATTAAATCTTTCAATCAATAAATCAATCAAATCATATCAGTCTATCAATCAATCGATTAATTAATTGCAATATTGAAAGTGTTGGGTGGTAATATCATTTATTATATTAGGACTTTCTCATGTTTTTTTTTGAAGTTGTAATATTTAAAGTCCCTAAAATGTATCTTTGCATTGAGTGTGATTCATCATGAAAAGGGTGCTATAAATAAATTAGTAAATAAATATACAGACACTCATACATCACACTCCCTGCTGAATAATGGAAGGTTCCAAAGTGCAACCATTTCCTGTCCAACCAACCGTCATCATCCCTGCAGTACTTGAAAGTCTTATCACTACAGGTTTATATTAAAGTTATTGTTACTAGTAGGAGGGCAAGCTTATTAGATTTCTCACATTTTTGTCAGCGTTTTACTGGCTAACCTGTCTAGGACAAGTTCATACCTGACGTTAATATAAACTAATACTGTAACTTTTTACACCGGCTTATAAATTGGAATATCTTTCATTTGTGGGTATTGATACTGCGAAAAAAGATGAAACTGTTTTTGTTGGACCAATTAATTTTCCTTCTTCTAATTTCAACGCAGGTGAGTTCAAAACAATTAACATGATTGTTCTTCCATTTTGAATCCGTTTCCAAATCTGGTTTATTTGTGTAAGCAATGGTGGATTTCTTAGTGACAAACAGTTGTCTCAGTTTTCATTATGGTGAACAATTATTAATTAAATACTGTTATTAATATTTTATGTAATTAATAGTACAAATACCAAAGACAATGGAGGTAGGAGAGAATGAAAAATGTTATCGTAAGATACACTGTGACCTACAGACAGGAATTGCCTTCCACTCCTACCTTCCTAATGTCAACAAAAAAAATGATCATTGAAGACAGACTGTCTGCGATTAAAAAAAAAAAAAAAAAAGTCTCTCAGAAATTCAATTACAGTTTGCCCTCCAATTCAGGACCACTTTGGGGATCTGAAAATTTGGGTTGGTCTCGGGGTTTGGTCTCCAATTAAAGGGTTAGCAAATTATCTCACCATAGTTGGATATGAATAGGGCTTTTGTGTTAATTAATTGTGTTAAGACTAATGATTGTTATTTGGTTTTGGTTTTGAAAAAGTGAATTAGAGGGGTCTCGGAATTAGAGGGGTCTCGGAATTAGAGGGGTCTCGGAATTAGAGGGGTCTCAAGTTGGAGGGTGCACTGTAATATATTAAAAACTGCTACATTTATACAATTCAAGTTATCGACTTCCAATTACAAGCAAATTTGAACTAATCATTTAAGTTATTTTTATGGTTTGGAAAAAAACAAAATTTGATTTACAATACAGTATTATTCAAACCAGATGAAACTATTTCAACTTAATTAAATTATTTGGTTTTGATATACAGACTGTTAATGAAAAAAAAATCCTTATCTTAATTTATACTGTACTAGTCAATGTAACTTTATATACAGTATACAAAGAAAATAGGAACATGATAATTTATCTATTAATTGGCAAGGGAAAAAATTACAGTTCTAATTATCTATTGAATACTGATGACTTTAATATAACAAATTAAATAACTCAATATTTGATATTTGAAGTTTATTAAGTAAATTTAATGATTTAATTAATGAACAAATATCTTTTGACACTTTATATATTTTCATTTTTAAACTGAACAATATTTTGTAGTTTCATTTTTTAACGCTTTAACTGTGTTGTATGCTACAACAGCCACGCACAGTATATTATTTGTTATAACTATTAAATTTTATTATGCAATAATTACTTTCAGATGAAATTATCTAATTTAGTTGAGCTTTCAAAATCTAAGTTTTACACTCATTTCTGCTGAAATTAATCATTACTGTTCACATAGCTTCATGATTGAGCTCAAAGGTTTAAAATCCAGGATCAGTTTTTTTTTTTGGCAAAAATATATTTTTTATTCCCAAGGCCAAAAATACCAAGTACTATATGTTTCAAATATATGCTGTATTCAATTCATTTCAACTTTTATTTCGGATGAGTTTCCTTCCATAGACATAACAATCACAAGAATAACAAGGCCCAGCACAAAACAGTATATACAAACAATATAAATAAATAATATGGGCCTGAAAAAAGTTAATTAATTAGCTAAACACTCAATCAACCAACTAATTAATCAATCAATTAACTAAATTAAAGTCAATACACGATGTTTCTACAATCAATGTCTAACTGTGCTGGTAAATACAACAACTGTTTCCACTTCCAACTTCCATTTTGAATCACACATTTGATAAGGCTGCTGCAACTCTTACAAACTCTGGCTTTAAAACTCTATACAGATTTCCTGAGATATCCAACTCTCATTTCCAAATGTTGTGCGAGGACAACACAATAATTCTTCTTTGGGCGATTTATCAATTTACGTCATTATTTGATTTATTATGAAATTAATTGCAATAATACCAACATTAAAGTTCACTAATACATAACATAAAACAAACATAAACACATTCATGAGAAAAAATAAATATGTTGTAGGTGGAATGCATTAGAGTGAACCAGCTTGAGCTCAGTTAGTGTAGCAACCAAACGATCAGAAGTGTTTGGTACAATATTAATTTTCATTACTAGAATTCTTTTTTTAAAAAAATACATTATCATTTTAATACTACCCTAAAATGACAAGTTTACTCCATAATACTGTACTGTCATCTTTTATATGTAGACCTAACCCTCACTTAAGAAGAGTCAGTATGTTTTGAAGAAGGAGATGTTGTAAACCCAAATTTATGTGAAGAAAAACATATATTTGATATTTATCCTAAAAGTCTACCTGTTAATCCCATCTGGATTTCTTCAGAGTGGGCTTTTAAAGCCTCAGTAGCACAGTTTCCAAAAATTTAAATATGGACATTAATTTCTATTTAAGACAATGTAATGATTTGAATATATTTGTGATTTTGTATACTGGTTTCATTCTCTTTTATAATATATAAATTTTAATGGTCAAATTGTCATTTGATGTACAGTAGTTCAGTGTTTTTTCTTTTCAATTCTCCTCTTAAACAAACCACTTTTCCAACAGGTCTCATTTTATAATGAACAAAAAAAAAAAAAAAAAAAAAAATATACCTTAGCTTGAAAAATTAACTTAATATATTTTCTATCTTAGGATGATTTTCAGAAATTCAATTTGAACGGCCTTGTAAATCTTTATTTCAAGCTTTACCGTACTGAAAAGATAAGAAGATCCTGTATTGTTGTAATTTTATTTCAGTATTTAATGAATTTCATTTTCTGTAGTTCACTAAACTGAACATTCTAAGCAATACTGTACATTGAACTTCAAACTGTCTCACACAAGCGACAAAACACTCAACAAACACTTGTAAATGTTATGTTATTGATTTACCACCCCATAGCAAATTGACATAATATTAAGTAAATACAAACAACACTCCCGATATTGATAATAATACTACGTCATGTGGAAGTGGGGGATGCAGATAAAGCAAATTGATATTTTACTTTGATTCAAAACAATGGAATGCCAATGTAACAAACTATAACATTCACATTGTGGTGGCATTTATCAAAGGGAATGCTATGGTGTATTGAGGGAAGCAGAGTAAATTGACAAGGTAAAATCAACAAGAGATGATACAAGTAGCAACTAACTCAAATTCATTAAATAACCTACAGGTGCAAACAAAACATCTTAACAATTATGCACACCTGTTATGTTCACTCTTATTTTTGTAATCCCTTTGTAATCTGTTTGTATTTTCCAATCTTATAAATCGTTATTCTTCAACTCTATGGGTATAAACTAAACATAATAATAACAATATTCATACCCGTTATCACTCTCATTTTTGTAATCTCTTTGTAATCCTGTTATGATTACCTCATAATTTTTCTAATCCCTTACCATAGCATGATCTTACATCATTGAGATCCCCTCATGACACTCTTCTCATTATCATTATAATCCCTCTCATATTCCTTCTCATGAATTCCTCACAGTGGAGTGAACCTTGGCAGTTAACATACTTCCCTGATGAAACTATAATCTAGGGTTCAAATCCTATTAGAATACAATTTTTGTTCTCAACACTAAAAACTCAGTCTTCTAAAACCAGATGGTAGCTTAATAAAATATTTAGTTAGTGGGAATAGCGGTTTCCATATAATCGCTACATGCTATTGC